TCTTCTTCTCTCTTTATGCAAGAGCCATAGATGATCGTCAAACTTCAAGATACTGCAAATTAAAGAATTAAATGTAATAGACCGAATCTATGAAAATAATAGAAGAACAGTTAACAATAAGAAATGAATTGAAAGTTAAAACAAAATAAAAGGACCAACCAAATATGGCAAATGTATACTTAAAACAGGTTCTTATTTTATTTTATAAATTCATATTTATTTTCATTCAGTAAGTAACCTGTCCATTTTCAACATCAAGACCATACAACACGCCAGCATATTTTTCAGTCAAACCATTAAAGAAATTCTCTTTCAACTTGATGAATGTACAAGAAGTAAGCAAACTATCAGAACCAGCTTGATGACAAATGCCGACGCGCTCCACTTCTTAAAGCTCTGCAAGGTTGTTCAGTCCACCATGAAGGCTGTTGCAAAACCGAATCAGATGCTTCATATCATAGGCAATTGGGAAGTACATCTTGATCAAATCCAAGTATCCCGCCCGAGTATCCGGTAGACTCTAGCAAGTCAACAGTTTCAGCAAGTACCCAAAATCATAGGCACTATGAAAAGTCACCCAATGCACATTATCATTCAACACTATCCCCGATGACATCATAAGCTCACTAAAGCGATAAGCATCAATACCCTGCTCAATATTTTTCTCGAAATCAATGCCACTATGAGTTAACAGCTCTATAGAGTCATGTGCATAAAAAGTCCTCATCACGATCAAACTCGCGAAAAATAAATTGCCAAATACAGTATTTACCAGTTCCACATGTGGGAAGGTTTCCCTTCTCATAGGAAAAAGTGAGGCCTAACTAAATTAGTTTAAGAAGATCCACGTTGGACTTCAGTGTGTGAAAATGATACTCAGACGAGCTCTTGAAATTGCCCAAGGGACGAAGAAAATACCCGAAAACTCAGTGTCCATAGCAATGTAAGGGAAGTCATCTACGATACCGCGAATCAAAGCAAACTCACATTCCAGATTGCCATTCCAGACCTCACTTATATGAATTGTATCGCTAGTAGGCAAAATCACCAGCACGGAGGTACAGCGTGCCTCCGTGCACATGGACGG